CTAAATATAAAAATGCGGAAATGACCACTTTTCTGCTCGTTGTCTCCCTTTAAGTCCTACGCTTTGCTTCAGACAATAAAATTTATTATGTTATAAGCTTTAAAGATAACTAATGTCTAATCTAATCTGTTTATAGTTATCACATAATTACGCATATAGATACGATCTGCACTAAAATTAAGCCCGTTAGGGAGTTATCTAAATTGGCAAATCTAATCATTTTGAAACTGTAGGACAAATAGAAAAAAGGTGTGTTATTGTTTTAAAAGAAAAAAGCTTTTTTTTTTACATTTATTATCACGTGAAGGAGATCCTACTCTGTTTTAACACGTTTAAATGATGCACATGGCTGGATTAATTGATTTGTGAGATTTGTACTGTTTATTAGAAATTGTTCAAAGCAATTTACAATATGCTATTATTGTTATATATACTGTGAATCGAATGTAAATGTACTGTATATTTGCCTGCATTCATTCAAATATCACAGAGATTAATACTGGCATCTATGCAATAAAAAATTGATTAAATAAATACTTTTGTTTTATAAAATTAAAGTGATTGCGATTTCTCTAATTTAGATCTCTTTTTTTGGGATTCAATGAAAGCTGCACGCATTTTGAAATAATCCTTATGTAATCCACATTCTGTTTTGTTCTTTCCTTCCCATCTTCCATCGCGTTCGCTCGATGAATCTTTGGCCGGCCTAGTACTATGCCAATCTCCAATAGATCGATATCCTTGGTCTATAAGTTTATTGTACGGTACCTGTATAATTAAAAAATCCAGAAATAATTACTAATAATTCAAGGATTATAAAATTGGTATTATATAAATTTATACAACTCACCTCGTTAGCACGAACATAAGTTATAACCTTTGTGAAGTCCCAGTGAGCAAGAGGGTTCAACTTTAACAAACCAGTTTTTTCTTCTATTTCCAAAATGTCTATATTTTCACGTTCCCCTTTTTGACTTCGACGACGTCCAGTTATAATGGCTTTAATTCCTAATTCTCTATAGGCTCGTCTTGAAGGTTCAACCTTAACCAAGTAATCATAGGTAGATTCGTCTGTCTCCCAGAGTTTTGTGCCATAAAGACGTTCAAAATCACTAACAGTATCACATTGAAATGGTTTAAAGATTTTTAATTCTGCTTTATAGTGAGAAGCAGCATAATCCGAGAGTGATAGTGTTTCGGGAAAATGGTAGAGGGTATCAAAAAAGATAAGTGGAACTAAATGGTGTGGTTCTTTTTCGTTTTCTTCGGCATATTCATGACTAATTTTAGATATCATATCTAAAATCACAAGACCTATATAGAAAGAAAAGTTAGTCAACTTCAATATAGAAGAAAATAATAAAGTGCACACACCTGTAAGACCAAAAGAAGTGATTTGATATAAATCGGGTAAAGTAACCATGGCCCATTCAAGAATCTTTTTAGGGGGTAATTTCGCTAATGTCTTATTAAGATACTTCAAGTGTCTTTCATCGAATAGCATCTGTAGTTTTTCTTCGGATTCAAAAGAGTCATCGGCAAGGTATGTTTCGGTCATCATTTTTAAACTCATGTTTCGTTTTTAAAAACTAAGGCGTTGGTTTTTTTTAAATTTGAGATGGAATCGGGTTGATTTTTTACAAATTTGAGATGAAGTCGGACGTTGATTTTATAAACTTTTTTTTTTTTGATTTGTAACTCAATACTTGGCCAATAAATTTTGATCTTGATGGCGTCATTGTTACATATTATTAATAACCAGCTTATTAATTATTTCATAATTAGACTTTACGTTGCATATTTATTATCTTTATTGAAAATCTCGTGAAAATGTTGATCATAAAAATTGAATGAAAGCCATTTATTATCACATGATCTATAGATGAATAAGTGAATCGGATAACGGCCTAAATTATAAAGACAGTATTCTTCAATAAAAACAATTCAAATTAAGTAAAATAAACAAAGATTTGGCTTGAATAAGCAGAGTTACTATTATTAGCTATAGAAAGTAAGAATAGTGTTTGATCCATTAGATTGCGAATTACAATACTAATGAGTTATAAAATTTGATTAATGAAGTGTTATTGTTAAAGTGTTTATATTTATATAGTAAAAATGTGATAAAAAAATATAACAATTTAATATTATGCAACAAATATGTTATAGATAAAATATAAACAAATAAATGAAATTAATTATTAATTAATTATTAACGTTTAGTTATAAGCAAATAGAAATTATATAGATCAAATTAAATTAAATTTTAATTTGTTTTAAAATTTTAATTCAAATTTGCTTTGACTAATTTAATTTAATTTAATTTTAAATATTATTTTTTTTAAAATAAATATATTATACAATATAAAAAAAAAAAATCTTTTTACAATTACTACAAAATTTTTTTAACAGATACTAACTATACTACATATGTAAATTTTACTAATCATTATAGATTATATTTCCTATATATGAATAGTCTAATAGCTATTGCTAATTTAATTGATATTTTAATTAATCAAATATCCAACTTACACCTTATAAATGGATCCATATATTGGTGAAAATTCAAGAATATAGAAACTCTGCCATCAGTTTTAAACTATCTAATCTTGATTCTTAAAAGATAGAAATGATAATATGCTAGTTAGGTTTTATCTAAATTATTAGTGATTTCAAAAAAACAATAAATTTAAGTATTTATTTTAAAATGTCAACAAAAGTTGGAACTTTATTAAGGTCAAAAGAATATTTTTTTATATATAGTAATATCCAAAATTTTTTTGAAAATTTTTTTAAAAAATTAAAAAATATATTATTATTTGATAAATATTAATTTAAAAATACAAAAAAATTAAATATAAACCTTTTAATATTAATTAATAATATTATCTAAATATTACATTTTTTTTTCTAATGTTATGTTTTAAAAAATAATTAATTTTATATTATTTATTATAAAAAAAACATATACTGTAAAATTATATAAAAAAACTCGAATTTTATGAAAATTAAATCATAAAATTAATATATAGCATAAAATTTTTAATTAAAATAATTATTAAAATAATAATAATAATATAATCTATAAATTAGATATAAGTAAAAGTAATTTTATAGTATTTATATATTTATATTTAAATTTGGATTTGATTTAAATAAGTTTTTACTGAGTTGTACATATTGAAAAAAATTTTAAATAATTTTGGGTACCACTATATATTGACTTTATATAATATAAAAATAAATAAATAAATAAATATAAAAATATATATATTTATATAAAACTTAACTTCTAAAATAAGAATTCTAATAATTCAATTCAATTCGATTCTCAATTCTTAAATTTATATTAAATTTAATATATGAATTATAACTTACTATTATTTTTAATAATATTTCAAACCTTATATGAATTTATATAAATTTGTTTAATTTCAATTTTTGAAACTACAGTCAAACCTAAATATAACGAAGCCTTCAGACTAATTAGTAAAAATTAAAAAAAATTGTTTAAAAATTTATTATAAAGAATTTTTAAAAATTTATATAATAAAATTCTCTTTTTATAATAAATTTTAAATAAATTCAAAATTTAAAAATTTGTTATAACCAATATTTTACTATAGCTTCATTTTAAATAGGTTTGTTATATCCAGGTTTGACTATATATTCTAAAGACATATATATTTAATTAATATAAAGAAAATATATAAAAAAATAAAAAAAATAATATAAACAATATGTATGCTTTATAATCTTATGCTTCTAATTTGATTACATTAGCTCATAGTAATTAATTAATAGTGTTTTAATAATATAACATATTATCAAAAGTTAAAACTATACACATATATATTTGACAATCATTTGAAAATGTTTCTATTTTATAGATCATTAGAAACAAATCGGATATCTTTCAAAATATAGATATTATTTTTTTTTTTTTTTTTGGGTTTCCCCAGTAGGTAAACATCATTTCTTTATTTGATATTGTATATAACAAGGTATA